ACAACAAGTAGGAGCCATCCAGCATTTACTTCAAAAGATTTATGCGGCCATCACCTACCCCGATTACGTCACCCAGGACACCAGGGACATTCTAGGGGAGTATTTCACAGGCCACATCCAGGACATAGAGGTTTTCTGTGGGAACTTCGAGATTCAGACTGGGATCGAGTTTCAGAAGTTTCTTGATAAGATTTACCAGCATTACCAGAGATTGGAAAATCGGAAAGCTTCCAAAGATTTTCAAGAATGGATCGAGGAGGACTTGAAGAAAGGGGGGAAAATCACGCACACGCCATCACCAAGACCCAGCCCCCACCTCCAGAAGAACTAGATACCATCATCAGTTCATCTTGTTCGAATAGGATCATTTCAGATGGCCCGATCCCCCTCATGCAGCATAAGCTCACCTATTGGGAGAAGTACTGGGCGCCCCTTGGATCTCCAAGCAGGCCACAAGAGGCTCAATGGCTCGTTCCCCTCATCGCGAAAGCTCGGAGGCAAGCCTTGGAGGAGCCCTTGTGGGAGCCCGATGAGGTATTTCAGATCGTTCGCAGGTATAGCCCCAGCAGCAGGAGGTGCCGACCTGTGGAAACCGAGGGAGCTCGACCTCCTCCCGCCAGAAGGCCACGAGGTCTTCACCGACCTGCTCAATCAGGTCCGCACTACCTTTAAGTTTCCAGCGCAGGTGCTAATGAATATGGTTCGCCTCATCCCAAAAAATGTTGAATCAGACCGACCCATCACCCACACCTGCAGCTTTTGACCGCATCTTGATCCAGTTAGAAAGGCCCTCCATCACAACCTGGGACTCCAAAAAAGCCGGCTTTTGGGATGAGGCCATCCGAGGGTCCCCATGCTTGAGGGCAGCACTTTTGAGCGAAGTGACGGCCGAGCTGGCCACCAGTTTAGGAATTCCTATGTCTGAGGCGCTGTTGGACATCGAGAAATTATTCGATACGGTTTGCACTGAATATGTTTGCAGTATGGCGGTCAAGTTAGATTATCCGACAGTGCCACTCGTTCTCGGCATGATGGTCCACATGGCCGCGCGGGTGCTCACATCCTCGCTCGGGTGCTCCAGTGCCATCTGCCCGACAGAGAGCATGCTGCAAGGGTGCTCACAATCTACCTCGTTTGCTCGTGCTTTCTTGTACGATATACTCGACGAGATGCACGGGCGCTTTCCTCATGAGAAGTTTCGAACGTGGGTGGGCGACCTACGACTGAGGGCCTGGGGATCCTACAAGATGCTCCAAGTGGACTTCGCTGAGGCCATCATATACCTAGGAGAAGCCTTACAAGCCAGAGGTTGTCGTCTTTCGCCGAAGTCGTGCATCATCAGCTCGGTTCAGTCGGTCGGTCAGTCCATCTGCTCCACGCTGGGTTCTCGTGGATGGGCCTTCAAACAAGTGGGACTTGGGCGGGATCTGGGGCTGGATACCACTCTTGGAAGGCGACGCAGGCTTGCTACCAGGAACGCCAGGTTCACCAAGGGGCTCAAGAGGCTCACCTCGATCCAGAAAGTGTTCAGAGATATCAACTCGGAGGCTGGTCTCGACAGGGGCCAAACCACAACTCTTCTGGGGTCACCAGGGCCAAGGCATTTGCCCAACGCAGTTAAAACACGTTCGGGGGCGACTTGTTCGTGGGCTTGGATAGGTTCCCAAGTATGGTTGTACCACCACGGACTTCGCCCTTTCGCCGAAAGGACAAGAGCAGGAGGATCCTGCTCATTACTTGCCGATGCAGGTTCTGTCAACCTGGTTCGACATGGTCAACCAGGACTCAGTGTTACACGCCGCTATCAGGAAGCGGTGGACCCCCACGGTTGAAAGGCTCGCGGGAAAGACTCGATGGAGCAAAGTTGTGTCCCTCTTCTCGGCCACTATTGCTACCCTATTGGACTTAGACGTTTATCCTGCGGGCCCATGGGGATGGATCCTCCCAGACCAAAGGCGCTTCATAGTCACCCCTGGGGACCTCAAGAGGCAGGAGGAGTTCATGAACGCTTTCTCCCAGCATATTTCTCAAACCATCTGGTCTCGGGCTTCGAAGTTTTATCTTGGGGGATGAGCTGAGGAAGGAGTGGATGTACACAGTCATAAGGTTATGTGTCAGAAGTTTCGACGTGAAGAGGTTTCAGCAGGGGCTGAAGCCCTTCATGTCATCAGCAAAGGTTCGGTATGGACGTGCGGCCGCCTCCACCCGTGCAAGCCCGACGTTCCAGCCAGATGTCCTAGGTGCGATGCCCCTGAGGAGGACGACCTCCACCGCTTCTGGACGTGCCCCGCGCTCCAGCAATGCACCGACGAGGCCGTTGTCGACTCTAACCATCTTATTTTGAGGGCAGTGGAGCAGTTCCCGTCATACCCCATCAAGTGGGGCCGCGCGCTCCAGCCAGCTGAGTTCACCATAGGACTTGCGGAAGATAACCCACCCGCCTCGGTCCACCGCGCCACGGGCACGTTTGTTCTCCAGGGTATGCAAGTGAAAGGGACATACTTGGTTGGGTCCGACGCCAGCGGGGGCCCACACAACAAAGACCCTCGGAAAAGGCGCGTGGGCTGGGGGGTAGCTGTTTTGGACACAGACTACGAACCTGTAGGCACCCTTCGAGGAAGCCTGCCAGGAAAGCAGACAATCAACCGCGGCGAGCTGTACGCCGCCACCCAGGCCCTTCTCCATGCGCATGGGGAGATTACCTTGGTATTGGATTCTAACTATGTTCATTGGGGAGCTCTGAGGGGGCCTAGGTGGACGCCAAGATCCAATCCCGATTTATGGTTCGATTTGTGGGCCGCCTTCGAGGCCCATGATGGGCCCGTTGAGTTTCACAAAACCAAGTCCCATCCAACATATGATGATTGGGACACGTATAATATCCAGCCATGAGCCCTTTTGGCCAATTATTTTGCTGACGAGGTTGCCAACGATGCTACCTCCCACGTTCAGCTTCCTCAGACAGTGCTTGACCGCCTCGATGCCGAAGACGCTGAGATTCAGCTCATTTCTAGCCGTCTCGCCACCATCCGGGTTAAATTCTGGGGTGATTTCAAGGTTCCCTCTCCTCCTCGACCCAAGCAGCCCAGGCCTACCCGTAAGTGGGGACACGCCAAACATGTCTTGGAGGATTGTAAAGAGGGGCTGAGGTGCAAGATTTGCTTTAGGTACCAGTTTGCGGGGCAGAAAGCCCCCTGGTTAGATAAGCCGTGCACCCAATATAAAGCTCAGGGGTTTCACCTCACCCACATTCCCCACTTGCACGTTTTTCGGGGCATTGCATTTTGCTCGAGGTGTGGAGGATGGAGAAAATCGAGGTCCTTCAAATCGAAGAGCGAGTGTGAACCTGCCACCAGCACAGGACTGAGAGCTCGCAACCGTCTTTTGAAAGGACTTTTACCACAGGGGTTACAAAGCTGGCCTTCGTCTCTCGTCGCTCGCTCCCAAGACGAGAGCGCGAGGGCTGTGGGAGTCCCGCCACAGCGTATCACTTTCTAAGCTGCCAGCGGGCCTTCGGAGTGCGAGGTCTCCCCTTAATCGCTGGCAACATGGCAACATGGCAGGAGGCGCAGTGGGAGTGGAGGGGGAGGACCGAGGAGCAGGAGTGGGCAGAAGGGAGGCTCCGAGGAATACTCTCTCGCACCTCCTTTCTCGTTCCCTCCTCCTCACCTCTCCTCCATCCTTTTACCCTTACAAACAACTCCTCCCCGTCGCACCTCGAGACGTGTTGGTAAGGCGGTATGGGCGTTTCGCCTGAGACTTCCTCATCACCTATGATCCTGAAGTTTACTCAGTTGCTGCACCTTCACAGTTGGAGGGCGGGTCCATTTCAAACTGTGGCTTCCTGGGCGCCGCGAGCAGTGGTCTTGAAAGCTCGCGGCAGCTTCGCGGATGGAGGGCGAGCCGTTTTCAGAATGTGGCTCTCGCCTCAGCGCCGCGTACATTCCTTTTTTAGAAGTTTGCATCCGCTTCAAGGATGGAGGGCGGCTCCTCTTCAAAATGTGGCTCTCGCCTCAGCGCCGCGCGCATTCGTCTCTATAGTTTGCAGCCTTTCCCCAGGCTCGTATGGCTGAAACGCCCAGGAGAGCGTTCTGGTACGATCTAGGAATGTCAGGACCCAACACTCACGCTGATTCGCGATGTTTAAAGTCCCAGACAGGGCGTTCTGGCACGATTTGGAATTGCAATGGCGCAGCAGTCACGATGATTCGTGGCGCTGAAATCCTAGGAATTGCTAGTTACACGACTAAGGATTCTCAAGCGGTTGTCCTCCAACGGGGCACTTCCGACAGTGCAAATGAATTCTCGTAGGGACCTCGGAAGAGGGATCTTGGAGGGAAGGTTTCTTGCAACATCGTTGATACTCGTATTATTCATCCTCCTCTCCTGCTGCTTTTTCTCCTCTTCCTCCCGCTCCTTCTTCTCCCGCTGCTCCTGCTCGTTTTCCTCTTTCTCCTCTGTCTTATTCTCCCCCATCGAACTCCCCCATCAGCCCCCTCCTCCCGTCATCCACCAGCCCTCCAGCTCTTCCTGTTCTTCCTCACTCGAGGCCTCCACCTCCCTCAACAGCTCACCCCACACCTCCGCCTCATCGTCATCGTCCTCCTCATCGTCGCTTTCTCGAAGCTTCTGTGGACTGTTTCAGGTCTAGGCTTGTTCCTGAGGCCCTGTGGAGAGCCTGAATAGGAGCAGCGGCGCTGCATACCATGCTCGGAGATGCCGCTCTCTCGGGTGTTGCCTTTCACAGCGAATCCTCCTCGTCGTCTGGCTTTCGGGTCATAGGTCGCGCCTTCAGCGGCCGTCCGGGACGCTTCGGACACCCCCAGAACGCTCTCGGCGAGGAGCAGCTGCTGAAAACATTTTCGAGGCTAGAGAGCTACCGAGAAGAGCCAAAATCGCACAACGCCTCGAACCTCGAACGCTCTAGCAATTGCCCATTGCGGTGCCGTTGGCCCTTCCATCCCCCGCTCCCGCCTTCTCTTGCCCAGCCCAGGACCCGCTCCTCCCAGCAAGCCAACCTCTTCGTGAGACCGGTGTTCTTGGAGAGCTGGGGGTGCACCTTGCTGAGGTGCTTGCGCACCTTGAAGAGGTAGTCACGCACATCCTGGAAGGACTCCACCTGGGAGGAGGAGCAGGAGCAGCAGGAGCACGAGGTGAAGGCATAACACGGTCGGGAACTTTTGCTTCGCGTGCCGCGGCGGCGGCCCCTGCGACACGCCAGGCCTCGAAGGCGGGCCGCAAGTTGCCCCTGAGGTTGCAGTCGAAGCGGAAAACGCATCGCACCGAAGGGCTGGAAACACTCGGAATGCTGTGAGTGTGCTGCGCAGACGTGCGGAGGGCAAGGAATGGCGGCGCGACCGCGCAACGCAAACGTTCCTCATCGTATGCTTGAGAACGACACGAGTAGCAAGCCTCGCGTCATAAGGGCAGCGTACCTGCCAGATGAAGTGATGGGCCTGTTTTACACCACCACCACCACAAGTTGAAGAGAGGAAGGAGGTGGAGGAGGACGAGGAGAAGGAGGAGGAGGAGGACGAAGAGGAGGAGGACGAAGAGGAGGAGGAGGAGGAGGAGGAGGAGGAGGAGGAGGAGGAGCACCCCCTCCCCCTCCAACTTTTGGTGTCGGTGGAAACCAGGTCTACCACGAAGGTCCATGGCGCGCAGTGCCGACTGGTCCCCCGCGGGCGGTGGCGGGTGGAGGCTCGTCGGCAGCAGTGCGCGAGCTCACCCCCGCTCGCACGGCACGGCGAGCTGGCTCATCCTGGGCCGACGGCATACCCCACGGATGGGGTATGCAAGCTCTCCCTCTCCCTCCGCCCTCTCCATATGAATCCCCCTCCCCCATATTAAAAGTCCACCTTCCTCCATATTACTCCTCCTCCTCCTCCTCCATATTAAATCCTCCTCCTCCATACGAATCCATATGAATCATTCCTCCTCCTCTTCCACCTTGCCTCTCCATGTGAATCCTCTTCCTACAGCTATGGAGACCTCTGAGAACTTTGAAGACTTCCCCCTCCTTGCTTTTCTCTGCGACTTGAACGGTGCGGTGCTCTGGTGCACGCGTGTTCTTGCTCAGTGCTCGTTAGATCCAGATGGGCACGGCCATACTTCATACAGTTGTTGTTACTGTAGCCAAGATGCTGACAATAACGTCCCATCGGATCTCCCCGTGCTATGCAGCACTGTTCTGGTTCCGTCGCCATGGCACGCCAGAGTTCCTGCACTAGTGCTGAGTGTCCATTCCCGCGTTTGGCGCTGCCAACGCATAGTGGGCCGTTGTCGGTCCTAATTGTCGGAGGGCATGTTGCCGAATGTGAAGCTGGCGCGGTGGTCAGTGAACGTCTTGCCATGCAGTAGAACACATACTAGGGAATCGCGCACGCCTGCAGTACATGTTCCAATCATCGAACCAACTAGTTGTCCTTGCGCGCATGCAGATTTGGATGCCAACGCTACCACAAATTTGCCGATCTCCCAGATTGCACAGGGCAGCGCGGACAGGCCCAAATGTTCTAGAACATGTGCGGCGGGCAAACAGACCCCCGCGCAAAAAAACTACAGCAGTCGGGATACATGAAGCAGAGGGGAATGTTCGGCCAAGAAGAGCCACATACTCCGTAACGCAGAATGCGGCAATCCAACCTGCGCTGGTTCTTCACCATCAGAGACGTTACGCTGCATCGTTGCTTTGCCCCTACATCATGAAACACACCATGTGGCTGCGAGCAAGGTGCAACTCCTGTCTGGGTCACGGGCTCCCCGCTGTATTTTTGTCTGCCTGAGTGGGTCGTGAATTGATGTTGGATGTGGTTGCGTTCCATGGCGAGGCCCCCTTCGCCTTGGATCAACCATGCATGACAGTCCATGGTTGTTGACCCTTGAGGCTGTAGGGGGATGCAAGTTCAATCGGATGTGCTGAGAAGGCCTCGGAAAACTGATGCGCACGTACTTTGGGGACGCCAAACGTTGAGTAGAGTCCGAATGTGTGGCGCAAGACGGGTGGGACCAGCCTGGGAAGGAACGCGGTGGGGAGAGCAGCGAAGGACAGGGAAGTGGAGGGGAAGGGGGTGGATGCGAAGGGAAGAAAGAGCAGGGAAAGGAGGGAGGAGGGGGAGAGCGAGGGCAGGAGGTCAGGGGAATGAGGGCGCGGGGGAGGGAGGGGCGAGGGACGGAGGACTTTGAAAGAGGAGGCAAGGAGGGGAGCGGCGAGGCGAGCGGCAGGATGAGGGGGGGGGGGGGGGGGGGGGGCAAAGACCGAGGAGAGGGGACACATACCAGCATGGCAATGCTGGGTGCGCTCCTCCTCCTCCTCCTCCTCCTCCTCCTCCTCCTGGCTGCTCCACCTCCTCCTCGTCCTCCTCCGCCTCCTCCTCCTCCTCCTGTTCCTCCTGCTGCTCCTCCTGCTGCTGCTGCGGGGGAGGGGCGAGGGACGGAGGAATTTGAAGGAGAAGGCGAGGAGGGGAGCGACGAGGCGAGCGGCAGGAAGAGGGGGGGGGGGGGGCAAAGACCGAGGAGAGGGGACACATACCAACATGACAATGCTGGGTGCGCTCCTCCTCCTCCTCCTCCTCCTCCTCCTCCTCCTCCTCCTCCTCCCCTCCTCCCTCCTCCTCCTCCTCCTCCTCTCCTCTTCCTCCTCCTCCTCCTCCTCCTCCCCCTCTCCTCCTCCCTCCTCCTCCTCCCCCTCCCCTCTCCTCTTGCTGCTCCTCCTGCTGCTGCTGCTCCTCCTCCTCCTCCTCCTCCTGCTCCTCCTCCTCCTTCTCCTCCTCCTTCTCCGCCCCATCCTGCCCTCGTCGCCGTCCTCCTCCGCCTCCTCCTCCTCCTCCTCCGGCTCCTCCTCCTCGTCACCGCCCTGTCCTTGCCACGCCGACTCCCCTCTCTGCCTGTGCTGCCTCCTCCTCCTCCTTCTCCTCCTCATCATCATCAGCAGCAGCAGCAGCAGCAGCATCATCACCAGCATCATCAGCATCATCACCATCAGCATCACCACTATCAGCAGCATCATCCTCATCAGCATCATCATCATCGTCATCATCATCATCAACATCATCATCAACATCATCATCATTATCAGCATCATCATCAACGTCACCATCAGCAGCATCATCAACATCATCGGCATCATCATGATCGTCAGTATCATCAGCAACATCATCATCAACAGCATCATCAGCATCACCACCATCATCATCATCAGCAGCATCATCAGCATCAGCATTATCATCTTCATATTCTTCATCATCATCATCATCATCAGCGGCAGCAGCAGCGGCTTCATCATCACCATCATCACCATCATCATCTTCACCATAATCAACGTCATAATCACCACCATCAGCATCACCATCATCATCAGCAGCATAATCACCGTCATCATCATCAACATACTCATCACCATCACCACCATCATCATCGTCATCATCGTCATCATCGTCATCATCGTCATCATCAATGACAACACCATCAACACGATCATCCTCCCTCACGATTCCTCGAAATGATCCCTCTTGTTCCCTCCCACTCCTACGCCGTCTCGACCTCGTACTGCGTCGTGGCCGCATCCTCCTCCCTCCCTCCTCCTCCTCCTCCTCCTCCTCCTCCTCCTCCTCCTCCTCCTCCTCCTCCTCTTCCTCCTCCTCCTCCTCCTCCTCCCTCAATCCATCCATCCATCCATCCATCCGTCCGTCCGTCCGTCCATCCATCCTTCTCCTCCCTCCTCCTCAACATGTTCCGCCTCTTCCTCCTCCTCCTCCTTGTTCGTCCTCCTCCTCGTCCTCGTCTTCGACCTCCTCCTCCTCCTCCTCCTCCTCCTCCTCCGCCCACTTCCCATCCTCCGAACCCTGGGATATCGGCGGCTCTCGAGCCCTGACTCGGGCCTCTGGCGGCCGCTCGGGCCTCTGGCGGGCTCCCCAAAGGGGGCCTCCGGCGAGGCGCCGCGGCCGGCGGGCCCTCCCGGGGCGGACGGCCAGGCAACGACGGAAACGGCCGGCGGCCTCGAGCTTCGGGCCTCGAAGAGTCGGAGGGCTGCCCCCTCACCCCGCCCCCCTCTTGGCGGCGAGCGCGGGGGGGGGGGAGGTGAGAAGGGGCGGGCCCTCCCAGAAGGCTCGGCAGCCCCGTGGCCTCCTGAGACTTCAACGCCGGTCTTCCCCGGAGGCATGGACAGCTTCTCAGAAGGCGCGGAGGCTGCTGAGAAGTCCTGCCGCCTTCTGAAAAGGCCTTCTCCTCATCACTCCCCCCCCCATTGCTCGCCGCCGGCCCCACATCCGGGGACGAGGGCCACCGCGCGCTCCGCCAGCATCACGGCGGGGTCCGGCTGCGTGCCGCGGCCCTGCGCGAGCTGCGCCCGCGCGGCGTCGAGCACCCCCGCGGGCCTCGGGGGCGGAGGGGGGAGGATGAGGTCCTCCTCCTCCTCCTCCGCCTCCCCCACCTCCTCCTGCTCCGCGTCGCCATCCTTTTCCCTCCCACCCCCCACCTCCATCTCCGATGGCGTCTTCTCTTCGCCACCCTGTCGTCCTTCATCCTCCATATTCAATCCTCCGTCCTCCTCCTCCTCCTACTATTCCTCCTCCCCCTCCTTTTCTCCATGAACTCCAATAATTCCCCGTCGCCCTCTTCCTTCACCAGACGCCGCCCCCCTTCGTCGTCATCGTCGCTTTCTGATTGATGATGTACGTGTGGGAAGGGTCGGTTTGACGGGATTCTTTTGTGCGATCGATGAGTTTACCGCGGGGGTTGTCAAGGTGCAAAAGGATTCGGATCCAGGAATTGGAGCAGCAATAGCAGAACCACAGACAGCTTGGGCTCCCCACTATTCACGTCTGGTCACTCCATGTGCCAGGGGCCATCGACACCGATCCCGAGACATGTCCAGGAGGCCTGGACAAAGCCCAACGCATCGGATACTTCGGTCCTCGATCCTTCAGCCTCGAGTGATGACCGGGCGGCAGAACGGGGCTTCATACCAAATAGTAAGCCAAGCGCTGTGGTGGTCCGTCGACGGGAAACCATTGGGGAGAACAGAACGGAGATCAGCAGGGGAGCCGTGCGGGAAAATCGAACGGGAAAACATGCGGAAAACGTGCGGTAAGGCATACGGAGAA